TCCACGTGGTGTGCAAGTGCAAATGAACGTTAACATCCCACCCCACCCCAACCCATGCCCCACGTAGCAGCAACGTAGCATCCACGTGGTGTGCAAGTGCAAATGAACGTTAACATCCCACCCCACCCCAACCCATGCCCCACGTAGCAGCAACGTAGCATCCACGTGGTGTGCAAGTGCAAATGAACGTTAACATCCCACCCCACCCCAACCCATGCCCCACGTAGCAGCAACGTAGCATCCACGTGGTGTGCAAGTGCAAATGAACGTTAACATCCCACCCCACCCCAACCCATGCCCCACGTAGCAGCAACGTAGCATCCACGTGGTGTGCAAGTGCAAATGAACGTTAACATCCCACCCCACCCCAACCCATGCCCCACGTAGCAGCAACGTAGCATCCACGTGGTGTGCAATGCAAATGAAAGTTAACATCCCACCCCACCCCAACCCATGCCCCACGTAGCAGCAACGTAGCATCCACGTGGTGTGCAAGTGGAAATGAACGTTAACACCCCACCCCAACCCAACCCATCCCACCCCTGGCCGTATATGCTGAAGAGTAGTAAACTCCTCTGATATGCTAAAAAGTAGTAATTTCCTCAGCGCCGCTAACGGCGGCGTGAGCAAAAACAACACCAAAAACAAAACCAAACAAAAAACAACCACACAAAAAACAATAAGCCGACGTAGATCCCCAACAGCGGTTGGTTTCAAACAGTGGTCCAACTTTGCAACCCAAGACGGATTAATGATGGCAGGAACAGGATTCCATAGCCTAAGTTTCTTCGGTGATTTTTTGCCCGCCCTGCCCCGTCCCCTTTTGGATCAAAGGCAAGATGAGACATGTTCTTTAAGAATGCGCGCATAATTGAATTTACATACATTTGGTTACAAACGAATGGCAATATTTGCAGACCACGGTGTGTCATTAAGTGTTTACAAAATTGTATGTGTGTGTTGGTTTGGGATTATCTTGTCGTGCTTGGACAACGTCGGTCAGTTTGTGCAAGTGATTGGTGAAACAGTTGGTTTTGGCCAAATTATCCATCATGATTCCAGAATTAGTTTCATGTCAATACTTGGTTGTTGTGTTATAATTGTGTCTGATGTTTTATTGTGTGTTGCTGTTTGGTCACTTAGCTTTAAAAAAATTATTTCCCTGGCTTCGAGAAGCCTCACACAGGTTTGCTGCCAATATTTAGGTGTTCCAAGGCATCGAACTTAATTGCTTGATGTGGCATGTGCTTTGGTAGATGCGACATCGGAACAGTTCAAACAGAAGATTTTACAGCAACATCAGAACAGGTCAGTCGACCGACGCTGTGCGCCCACTGAGCAAACGAACATGAATCGGCATGTGCGGAACCCGCCACAAAGCACCCAAGATTGGCTGGGGGATTTCCGGAATCCCTTGTGTTCCTGGAACCTTGTCTTCCTGGAACCCTCGTTTCCGGAACCTTGGCACAACCCACAGCGTATATTGGAACCCTGGGTTTGCGGAACCGAGACGCGCTGATTTATTGTCACGCTGTGCCCCCCCCTGTCAGCGATTGCTCGTTGACAGGGCCTATATGGTCCTGGAACCTTGGTTTCCTTGAAAATTGGTTTTCTGGGACCCTGTCCGTAGCATGAACCTTGGTACAACCCACGGCGTATATCCGACCCCTGGGTTGTTTCCGGAACCTCGGAACCTTGCCAGAACCCTGGTTCTCTGGAACCTGGGCTGGGCTTCTTGAAAATTGTTGTTCCGCAACCTTGTCCCTGTCCGGAACCTGTGGCATAATCCAGGAAGTATATCCAAACTGTGGGTCCGCATCCGCGGTGGTTCTCGGAACCTTGTCGGAACCCAGTGTTGCTGGAACCTTGCCGGAACCCTCGTTCCCCAAACTCTGGGTTTCCAGGATGTTTCAAAATTGGTGTTCCGGTGATTCCAGAACCGCTCGAAACCATGGTAAGGTTCCCGGAACCTTGTCGAAAGCCAAGTGTGCCCGGAACCTTCCTGGCGCCGAGAACCTGGGGATCCCGGAACCTTGACGTCCCGGAACCCAAAAGGTAGCCAGAACCCATTGTTCCCAGAACCTTGCTTGAAAGTCTGGTTTGCGGAACCTGGAACCTTGCCCCGAACCCTGGTTCCCGGAACCCTGAGTTCCGGAACCTTGCCCGGAACCCTGGTTCCCGGAACCGGCAGCGGTTGGTTTCAAACAGTGGTCCAACTTTGCAACCCAAGACGGATTAATGATGGCAGGAACAGGATTCCATAGCCTAAGTCTCTTCGGCGATTTTTTGCCCGCCTTGCCCCCTCCCCTTTTGGACCAAAGGCAGGATGAGACATGTTCTTTAAGAAAGCGCGCATAGTTGAATTTACATACATTTGGTTACAAACGAATGGCAGTATTTGCAGACCACGGTGTGTCATTAAGTGTTTACAAAATTTGTGTGTGTGTGTTGGTTTGGGATTATCTTGTCGTGCTTGGACAACATCGGTCAGTTTGCGCAAGTGATTGGTGAAACAGTTGGTTTTGGCCAAATTGTCCATCATGATTCCAGAATTAGTTTCATGTCAATACTTGGTTGTTGTGTCACAACTGTGTCTGAAGTTTCATTGTGTGTTGCTGTTTGGTCACTTAGCTTCAAAAAATCATCTACCTGGCTTCGAGAAGCCTCACACAGGTTTGCTGCCAATATTTAGGTGTTCCAAGGCATCGAACTTAATTGCTTGATGTGGCATGTGCTTTGGTAGATGCGACATCGGAACAGTTCAAACAGAAGATTTTACAGCAACATCAGAACAGGTCAGTCGACCGACGCTGTGCGCCCACTGAGCAAACGAACATGAATTCGGAATTCAGTGAGGGGCCACAAAGCACCCAAGATTGGCTGGGGGATTTCCGGAATCCCTTGTGTTCCTGGAACCTTGTGTCCCTGGAACCTTGTCTTCCTGGAACCCTCGTTTCCGGAACCTTGGCGCAACCCACAGCGTATATTGGAACCCTGGGTTTCCGGAACCGAGACGCGCTGATTTATTGTCACGCTGTCCCCCCCCCTGTCAGCGATTGCTCGTTGACCGGGCCCTTTTGGTCCTGGAACCTTGGTTTCCTTGCAAATTGGTTTTCTGGGACCCTGTCCGTAGCATGAACCTTGGTACAACCCACGGCGTATATCCGACCCCTGGGTTGTTTCCGGAACCTCGGAACCTTGCCAGAACTCTGACCTTGTCCCTGTCCGGAACCTGTGGCATAATCCAGGAAGTATATCCAAACTGTGGGTCCGCATCTGTGGTGGTTCTCGGAACCTTGTCGGAACCCAGTGTTGCTGGAACCTTGCCAGAATCCTGGTTCCCCAAACTCTGGGTTTGCAGGATGTCTCAAAATTGGTGTTCCGGTGATTCCAGAACTTTGGCACAATCCAGGCTCTGGCTGCTCGAAACCATGGTACTGTTCTACAACGTTGGGGTAAGGCAGGAGGCGCGGTGCGCAAAGAAACTAAAACTGAAACAGAACTAAAACAAACGCGCGCATCGCCATGTTCGTGGGAAACATAAAAACTGAAACACGCAAAAACGAAACATCACAAGCCACAACTGAAAATCGAATGCACATGCGGAAAACAAAATCAAGATCACTGAAAGTGGATTGCCGTCACACGCCTTTTTATCGGTGGTAGACGGCACTGAAACAGGTCTCAAGTCCAATCAGCGGACATTCATCCAAATCGCTTTCCATCCGTTTGGTTTTCTCAACGCAGCCGAGGGCAAAGCTCCCCCCCCGTTCAAAGTCCAGTGCCGTTGATTGCATCCGTTGCAAAACATGAAACGAAGTGTAGGATAGAAAGCCAGTTCCAGAAGGAGTCCAATGGATACAGCGGAAAGGCCAGTGATCAGTGAGTGCAACAAAGCGCCTCTGAGCGATTATACTCGTCCAGCCGAAGGTAGATGTCATCCCGATCAATGTAAATGCCATAGCAAGTGCAGCAAACAGTCTGTAAATCACAGTCATCCAGGAATGAGAAGCAAAGCACGTTGGCAAAACGTGATGGTCCAGTATGGTCCCAAAGGTTCCACGTAACCAAAAAGAAAATGTGAATGCTGACATAGTCATAACGGTCTGCATCCCAAGCCAGTCTCAAGGGATTGCGCTGTTGCATCATAAAGACGTATGTAAAGGAAATTGAACACCCAATACCAGGGTGGGAGGGTGTGGACTAAAAAATTGAACAGCTAAAACTGCAAGAAAAGGTATAAAAAAATTCGAACCCTGGGGTTTCACAAATCAGTAAACAGTAACTTCAAACGAACTAAACCCTAGCACTGAAAACCATAAACAAAACCTTCACAGGCATGCACAACTGAAACTGAAACTGAGACAGTAACAAAGAGGTTAAACAGGCAACAACTCAAGGCAAACAAAATAAACCAGACTGAAACTAAACGAACATGTCGCTCGCAACGCGGAAGCAATCATCAACACCCTTCCTTAACATCGCCGCGGGAGCAGGAGCAGAGAGAGGAAGGAACGCGGCAGCGCGAAAGGCGACGGCCAACAACAGCGCCCCAGCCACCCACCCCAAACCCAACGCTTCCAAACAGTCATTTTGGTGACCCAAACTGTCCTGTTCTACAACGTTGGGGTAAGGCAGGAGGCGCGGTGCGCAAAGAAACTAAAACTGAAACAGAACTAAAACAAACGCGCGCATCGCCATGTTCGTGGAAAACATAAAAACTGAAACACGCAAAAACGAAACTGACATCACAAGCCACAACTGAAAATCGAATGCACATGCGGAAAACAAAATCAAGATCACTGAAAGTGGATTGCCGTCACACGCCTTTTTATCGGTGGTAGACGGCACTGAAACAGGTCTCAAGTCCAATCAGCGGACATTCATCCAAATCGCTTTCCATCCGTTTGGTTTTCTCAACGCAGCCGAGGGCAAAGCTCCCCCCTTTTGCAAAGCAACGAGGCTGCACAACTGAAACTGAAACTGAATCGGGTTGCAAGTCAACCCCAAGCTGATTTCTCAAATTTGTCTCTCCCTTTTCCATACACCGCCCAAGAGTCGCGGTCCAAGAATTCATGCCTCGCTTCCCACAGTTCCAAAAGCAAGGAAAGATCTAAATCTGAAAGCGCGACATCAATCCTCTTGTCCAAATCGACATCGCCAAACCTGGAATTCGTCAGGTCATCTGCCAAAGTGTTCTGATCCCTCGGCCTCCAAGCTAAGCTGATTCTGACACCAGCCCTTATCAAGCAGTGCGACAGTTGCATGTTAACTAATGTGAGGGGCCAGCGTGTAGTCGAATTCTTCCTGGACAGGAAGTCAATAGAGCGGTTGTCAGTTCCGCTCTGCACCCACAGCCGGATGCATGTTCTTCCCGACTTGGGCTCCAAGTAGCCAAAGAGCTGAAGCGCAACTAAAACTGAAAGAAGTTCTGCAGGTGCCGACGCCCACTCACTATCCCCATTCTCCTTGAAGAGGTAAGGCGCATCACGGGGCGTGACACGCACAGAGAACCACTTGCCATCAGGGAAATGATAACCAGCTAACACCACAAGGTTGTTTTCGCACTTCGCATCCGTCCTGAATACTTCATTTGTCAGCCGCTGTGGCTTCAAGCAAGAAAACATGAACTTCTGTTCCTCAAACTGCTTTTCCAAGAACATGCAAACAAGCCTGACCAGCTTAGGTGCTGTAGCAACTGTGCTCTTGCTGACCGCTGAAGCCCATGAGTAAAGGGGAGCCAAGTGCGGCTTCAACCAGAGCAAAACCCGGCACGTGAAGCCAAGCCTACCAAGAAATTCTGCAAATCGATGGACATGGACAGTGTAACCATCTCTTCTCAGCTCCCGCAAGAAGGCGAGCAACCACTGCCCACGTGCCTCGCTGATGCCCACTGAAATGTTCATATAGTCAACACGATACCCAACGAACTGGACATCCAAGCCACCTGAAAATTTCTTGTAACCAAAAGGGGTGCCTAAGGCCTCATATGCCGCTATTGCCATCCACAGGGTCTCAAACTTCTCCTCACCAACGCAAACAACATGGAGGTCGTCAACATACACGAGCTGTATGACCCATCTATTCAAAAGGACCCTTGCGACAAGCCGCCCAGCCAGGCCAAACAATCTGCTCCACCAATAGGGCGCACTGGACACCCCAAAAGTACCCACTTTGTTGACCCAGCAAACTTCTGAATCTGAATTGGCCTTGCAAACCAAAAGTCTCCAGTCGCTCTCGCGGATCTTGACCAACCTGTGGGCCGCCTTTATGTCGGCCGAAACAGTGAAGAAGGAGTCCTGTGTGTCCCTTGCAGCTCGGACAGCCCCAGCAACATCCGGCGGCCCAGGATAGTCCAGCTTGTCTGTAAACTGTATCCCATTGTTAACCTGGACGAAGTGTGTTCCATCGTGTATGGGCCTAACACTCCCGTCCGGCTTCTTGATGGCTCCCATGGCAGCTACAAGAATAGGTTTGCCAGGATAGCGTTCCCTCAAGACCCCCATGGTGGTGGGATACATCATGCCCTGAGCCTCGTCCTCCCTAAATTTGTTCTCAAGGCCTTCTTGATTTTCAACTGCAGACTTATAGTTACGTGCCTCTTCCACGTACTCAGAAGCATCCAGGTTGCTCTGTTTCGTCCTGGCGCGGAAAACTGCAGGAGCAGGGGGTATGGGCTCTTCATACCCTACAGGGACGCCCGTCGCGAAGGAGTCCTTTGAAGCCACCAATATTTCAAAGTCAGGGTCGCCTTGGATCTTCAAAGTCTGAGCCATGAGGTCTAACAGGAAAGGCTGGCCCTCTGCCTTCTGCAGCGCACCACTGGGAGCAGGTAAAAGTGCGGCCCAGCGTTTTCTGAGCCTGTCAAGTGCCTCCTTGCAAAACGGTGACTCGGCCAGCTTCCCTGTAGCAAGCTTGAACGCCATCATGCGGAGGTCTCCCAATTGTTCATGAACAAAACCCTTAAGCAAGTCATGGACACGGTCATTGATGTCACGCGCTTGAGCGCTTTGCCCAACTCCTCTGCAATCAGGAGCCCACCTGTTAGGTGAGCACAAGCCAAAACCGTCAGTGATCTCCCTTTCTTCGCCAGACCATTCAACCATCATAGGCCTACCCCAGTTGGAGTCTGAAAAGGTGTGTTGAACCTCCGTCAACTTTGTATGCCCACTGGTCTGTGCCGCCGGCTTCTCATGCACCAACTGTTTGAAACCATCATCAACATGCTTTGGGTCGCCTCCGCACTTGTCTACTTCCATGGGCCGCACAAGACTGGTTGGTGGGTCAACCACCTTCGAAGTTGCAGCTGAAGCTGCATTCTCAGCCACTTTTGTTACCTCGTGGGTTGGAGGGTCAACCACCTTCGAAGCTGCAGTTGAAGCTGTATTCTCAACCACTTTTGTTACCTCGTGGGTGCCCCCTTTCCGAAGGACGGAGACCACGAGGTTGGCCAAGTATTTGCACAAGCCAGGTGGATATGAGGCAGCGGGTCCTGTGACCCAGCGCCCCTGAGAGTCCTTGCCAATAAGACGCCGGACATGGCGCGTGTGGGTGCACCTAGCAGGCAATGGCCCCACATATTTGCCCTGCTCATCGAAGGCTGGCCATTTGGAAAACCTTGCTTTGATGCCTGGTATTGAGGAAAGAAACCTTGTAGGCTTGCTAGTGTCAGCTCCATACCCGCATTGAAAGATCGCCCAGGTTGTTGCATTGGTTACGATCTGCAGGTCATGCATCTCATCCAGCTGCCAAATGGATGCTGGCGCCTCGCCATTGACTGTGCCTAGATCCTCCGGGTGCTCAATCAAAAAGAAGGCCCCAACTTCAAAAGCAAGGTGTGCTGCGCGTATGGTTTGAGAAACAAAATAATTTGCCAAATCAACTTTCTTACGCTGTGCTGCAGACAGCCATGGAAAACCCCATGGCCATGACTTGTTGCGCTGTGGTCGGGGACCTGGATGAAGTTGCCACTGGAATCGAACTCGCGACCATGTCCCACAAGGAGGTGACATAATCAACACATCATATTTGCCGTCTCTGATCTCTGTAAAAATCTCCTCCCAAAGCTGATCACGACTGAGGTCATCAGACTCAGAGCGTTCAATGTCCACTTCGCGGACATGCAGGGTAAAATTCTGCGCCTGGGAGTATCCATGCAAAAAGGAATTGATATCTGCTCGACGTGGGGCTCCTGCAAACAAATAGAGAACCCTCAAGGTCTGCTTGACAGATCCATGACCCTCCTTTGAAGCCCCACGTTCTGCCTGTCACTCATCGCCAACCTTGCTCTTGTCATCGCCTCCTTGTTGCGAAGGTTTGTTGTTGGAGTACTTATGGTGTTCCCGTGCCGAATGCTTGCCATAGCATCCTCTGATCCTGCAAGCATGGACTCTTCCACACTTTCCTGAACACCCTTGGGCGTTGAACGCAAAGCATAGTTCTCTGCTGTCTGGTGTGTGTGTTACCAGACTATTGCCATTGAAGTCCCTGGAGCCCTTGCCAGACTTACCTTTGCCTTTGCCACCTTTCGATGGTGCTCCTTTGAAACTGGATTTCCCTTTGAAGCCTGTGCGCTGCCATTTGTTGGGCTGAACTGATGGTCGCTGATTGTTCCATCCAACACCAAGGGCAATCGGTGCTGTGAAATGCGCCTCCTTGATCTCCGCGTCTTTGATGACGGCAGTCAGGCCTTCCGCAACTGTGTGTGTGCCTGCCTGGACAAGCTTGAACACCTCTTTCCGCATCTTCTGCTCATAGCTGAGAATGACAGCCCAAGGCGGCTTCACTGCATGTGATTGGCCTTCCACGTTGAACTTCAATCCCAAAACCTTTTCACCCAGCAAGTACTCTGTGTATTTCGACCAGTGCTGTAACTCCAGACCGTGAAGCCATGTTTTGTTTCGAAACTTTGCTGACATGCAAAGCCAGCTGACTGCTTCCAACTTCAAAGCTTTACGGAGGGACTCTGTGTCCTCAGGAAGACGGCCCTTTGTCTTAACCTTTGTGACCCTGACATGGCCTGACGAATCCAGAGACGTCTGTAAGGCCGAAGAGCTTGTGTCAGCCCTGGATGAGATCTCATCAAGCCCCAGCGCTTGAGGCTCATTTGCTTCGCACTCCTCAACCTTCAGAGCCAGGTACTCATTGCTGGGTATCTCAACGTCTTGTAACTTACCCAAGACAACTTCGACTGCTTTGACCATTGCTTGACGTTCTGTATGCTGCTAGACTCGTGGCATACCAAGCACCTTCGTTTCAGCTTGAAGTTCCTGTTCTTTTGAAGTCATTGTGCGTGAGAGCTCCCACGCAGTCAACACCTTGGCCACGTCAGCCCTGGTCTCAGGACTTGCTGCTGGATCTATACGGAAGTCAGTGCGCAATGCATCGCGCACTTCAGCCTTTGTATCACACATAGAGCTGAAGACCTTCATGGTCTTGTAGTGCTGGGCCAAAGTGTGTTGAGTGGTGAGGGACACATCAGCCTCTTGCCAAATGTATTGCAGGTCCGAGCTGACATGCTCTGAGATATAAGCCCTTCGTGCAGCGTCGTCAGCCATTGCCGGCAACGCAAATGACCAAATGAACTAACTTACTAAGATGGATGAAAGTGACCTGAACAAAAGTGGAGTGAAAATCATCTGAACCGTCAAGCAAAACTGAAGTAAAATAACAATCAAACATCGAAACACGAAACCAATCTGACCTGTCAAGTGAACTGAGGGATGAAATGCAGTCACTGGAAACGCTCAATCGCCTGAAATTAAATCAAGTTAAATGCGCCCTGAATCTGACTCTGAATCTGAAGTGGCTCCGTGCCGCAACATAAAGTGTGCTGCCGCCCTCTGACATGTTCACTGAATCACAAGATTGGGTGACTGCAAAGATTTTCAAACTGAATTCCCAGAAATCTGCAAGGCAGCCACTGATTCTGAAAGCATTTCTTTTGACACCTCCGCCAAGCTGAGTTGGTGACCACATCATTGTGTGCATTGGGTCACTCCCTATCTACCTGGCCTGCCAACTGACGGGTGCCGCCAAACTGACATGTTGAGACAACGTGAAACAAGTACACGTCAAAATAACAGAAAACGCAGCACCGAAAACACAAACTGTCAAGTGAAACAATTCACCAGTCTGAACCACTCCGAGGCGGGTGCCAGCGATGCAGGCGTTTCAGGCCACTTCGGCCCATGAGTGAACATGTAAAAGTGGTGGCACTGTACTACTGACATGTCGTGATTGCAGTGGATCACATCACAAAACATGAAACTGACTTGACCTGAATTCAAGCTCTTTAAAATCAAACCCTTGGTGAACTCACGCCAAGGCCAGTGCCCACACGCCCAGTCTTTGTGCGTGTCCGTGACGCGGATGCACTTGTGTGCACTTCCAATCTGAGACACCTGCAATGTGAAACGAAAGGATCAAGAACAAACAAGATGAGGTGGACAACAGCAAAATTCTAACAAACGCCAGTGCATCCAGGAATCTTAAACTGGTTCAACTAATTTGCATTGGGTGACAACTGCAAAATCCTAACAAACACCAGTGCATCTTGGAATCTCAAACTGGTTCATCTAATCTGCATGATTAAAGTGGCTCGTCACCTGAGGTCTCCGCACTCGTTGATGACGATGAGCCATCACTTGAACTGCTACTGTCAGACCCTGATTCAACTTGTTCCTTTAAGAAACGTTTACAGACCCTACAAATCGCATCAAAACTGGCGCATGTGACCGATTCGACACTCTCAGTCTGTTGACATCTTTCAGCATGAACATGGCATTTTCCAGTCACATGCAGTCTCCTGAAGCCTGTCCTCCTCGAGACTGTGACGAAGTAGGTCATGCCCTCATCAGGGTCATCGGGAGCAAAATGCTCACCTTCAGCCTGTTGTTGGATGTTCTCATCCTCTGACTCTTCTTCATCGCCACGTCTGATCAGGTCCTCTGCCCTGGACAACGGCAGCATTTTGTGCCTGCGCCTGATCCGCTGCCCACTCAAGTCTGCCTTCTCAGCAAATTCACGCAGATTGTCCAAGAGCTCGTTCTCGTCGTAGGTGACGCCCTCACCATAGAAAGACTGCATGACCTGTTGTTGGATTCTCTCAGTGATCTGGCGCGATGTCAAAAGGTATGCATTGGACCCAACACGTCCTATGGACCACCTGCCAAGAAAATCCCTGTCATGCTTGTCACATCCAATAGCCGCCGACGCTTGTGGAAGGAAATGCCTGGCGCTATGCCCCTTCCAGAAAAGCGACAGCTCAGCTGGAACCAGCTCCATGTTGGCGTTCACACGCCACCGGCCATCCTCAAACTTCGGGGTCCCAAGCATCTGAAGCACCATCCTAAAATAGTTGGCCAGCTGCGGCGGTTCAACCAACTTCTTCCTCATTGCATGCCAGTCAGCTGTAGGCGCCGGAATCAAATAGTCCCTGGGGAAAATCGCACTTTCATGATTGAAAAGTTGTAACCCTTCTTCCATCCAGTCATGGCCAGAGAGCGAAATACTTCTGTGTATAAATGCATGGACCTGCCCATGGATTTTGCCAGGCCCTGTAGTCTTGGTGCGCGACATGCGGACCGTGAAACCTCTTGGTGAAAGCCGCATTGTTTCCGGCATCACACACTGGATGTCATCCACACGCATGCAGCCCCATGTTGCAACCAAAATGGTCCATGCAATGACACGTGCATAATAGTCCCTCTGATCGTCCATGACAAACAACTCCAGTGCCAACAAAACTGATACAGTGTAAGGTGGCGCTGACCCACGTGGTTTGCTGTTTGTACTCAGTTCCTGGCTCCAGCTATGTAGATGAGCTTTCCACGTCGGATCCATGGAGAGCTGGTTGCACTCCGGGACCCTGCCACACCTTTCAAGAAGCACAAGTGATGCCTGCAGCTCTGTATGTATTGACAGGGCACATCCAAACTGTATGCACTCCTCAATGTAATTCACCAAATCTGCAACTGAACGTGGCCACAAGACCCCTGCATACGCAACAAGCCATAGCCTATACTTGCACCAGCTACGAAACCTGTTTCGCAAAGTCTTGCCCCTGCGGGCCCCAAAAATTCGTTTCCATGCTTTGTTGGGGTCATCAAACTGTTGTACCTGATAAACCACTGGCAGTCCAGCTTCACTGATGATTGTTGCAAGCTCCAACGCAAACTTGGTCCTCAACGACTCCTCCAACTCTGCCCTATTCGTGCCAGCAGTCTTACGTTGTTTTGAAACACGTTTCGCAACTTCTAAAGCATGCTTTGGGTCATCTTTGACCATGGTTTCAAATGCATCTGAGGCCTCCACAGGTGCATCCACCCTCTTTGCAAACAAACTACATTCAAGCTCAACTGCAACCGTACGCCTCTGTCGTTTGAAAACAAACTGCCTTGACACTGACCACTCCACCAACCGTGTTGCAGCTTCACCAGCTAAATGCTGAGCATCCAAACCTGTTGATTCAGCTAACTGATTGAAAACTTCTTGTGCCTCAAGTTCAGTGTCAAACGCGTTTGCAAAGGAAGATGGATTCTTATACAGTTGTGCAGCTGTACTCAGGATTTTCGGCCCCAGAAAACTGAGCCCTGCCCACTCATCTTCGACCATGTGCGGCCGTGAGGCATGCGTAGCGCCCCTCTCACTAAAAAATTGAACAGCTAAAACTTGAGCCAAAATGGCTACGGAACCTTGTCGAAAGCCAAGTGTGCCCGGAACCTTCCCGGAACCTTGACGTCCCGGAACCCAAAAGGTAGCCAGAACCCATTGTTCCCAGAACCTTGCTTGAAAGTCTGGTTTGCGGAACCTTGGGTTCCTGGAACCTTGCCCCGAACCCTGGTTCCCGGAACCCTGGGTTCCCGGAACCTTGCCCCGAACCCTGGTTCCCGGAACCGGTTCTCGGAACCCTGGTTCCCGGAACCGGCGAAACGAGGCGGCAGGGTCGAGCAGTGCCCCGGAGCACCCCGAAGGCTATGTGGGCTGAGACCCCAAAGCATTCTGCTGTTGGGGAAAAAACCACACAACCACAAAGCAGTGACGTGACAGGTTCCAGTTGGGTGAAAAAGATCTGTTGAGGCAAGAGGTGATAACTTAGTATCATCTCGGCGCATGCAGATGACAACTTTTGTGTCATATTGGCAGGCCCATAAAACAACACAACAACAAGAAAAACCACCAAACCACCATGGGCCACAGCAGGGTGTAGGAAGCAACAAAGCTCAATGCGGAAACCAGGGATCCCCCCAGCCAGGATCCCCGAGATCACAAAGAGCAGCCATCACGGCATGACATTCACCCTGACACTTTGAAGCAAACACCGACAAAGCCGGGTCGCAACAAAGTGGTGAGAAAAACTACCGCAGTGAAACAGGAGAGTGAAACATGATCTAAGGTGAAAATGACCACGAGGCTACGGCACTCAGGGCACACTCAGAGTCCGCTCAGAACTGCTTTTCCAATCATCATACTGCATCACACATGCGGGTGCGGTAGGCACCCCTGTGCTAGTGCTCTTGCAACTCGTCTTCATGGTATGGGAGATTGTACTCGTCATCAGTGCGTGGTGATATCTGTGCATTGAGTTCTTCAGACGAGGTGCTAGCTCCCCTGGCTGTATGGTGAAGCTGTAGTAAGGCTTTCTGCGCCTGGGTTACTTCGTAACTGGCAGATATGGTACAGCTATCCAGGATACAGCCAATCTGACGGAGTTGGCGTATGGTCGCCTCAAGGTCAATAACCCTCTGGGATGGGATGTTTTGAATGCCTTGAAGCTTCTGTCGGGCCTTCTCTAGAAGTTTGGTGGCATCATCGACTTCACTGGTAGTGACCTGGCAGAGGGTCAGTTGAGTAATGGACTTTGCAAGACGATGGACAGCGGCGTCTTTGATAGGAGTCGGTCGCTCCATTCCAGAGAACTAAGTTGTCTACTGGTTTGTAGGTAGACGTAAAGCCTCAGGGCATTCAACTGACACTCACCGTGTTGCAACCTTGGTCGAGAAAGGGCATGTGGAGGTGCGGTGGAGATCATTTGGCCGGTCGAGAAGTTGGTTGAGCGAAGGTCAAACGGCGACGGGCACCATGGCTAGATGTACTTTGACATCGCACTACCCTACCATGCAACAATTAAGGTAGAACAAAACGAACAAAACAACTCAAAAACCCTGAAAAGGATTATTATAACCGCCCCCCACCGCCTCCCGTCCCATACTGGCTCCGGCATGTTGACAGCAAAGGTAGTCGCGGCGGGCAGTAATCAACCATGAGTACCCCATGGTGACAACGCCGCTCAACCTAGGTCAAGTTACAGGCTGAATGCATGAATGGGAAACTTGGGTACTCTACGTCACCTCGAGTGGCTTACTGGAACTGCACGTGTGAAGTGGTGCGAGGTTCTCCACTGCTACTAGCGCCACTGGCTGCAGCAGTGGCGGGGGGTGGATCACTGCTCTCCGCTGGTCTCATCATTTGGGCGATGAGTGGGTGGGTTTGCTTGTCGCGCAGGATCCGCGTCATTTCGCGAGTGAATGCTGCAGGGTCATCAACTAGTTCCTTCGCTTCCGCTAGTGGCCTGTCAAGGACAATGGCAATGAGCATTTCGCCACCATCTTTGTGGATTATAGTTGGTCGGCCGGCTTGTACCTCTGCGAGGATTGCCACTGCCTTGTTTTCACACAAAGTGCGTTCCCATTCCTCCAGGGCTCTTTGCGCTAGGGTGTCAGTTTGTGGTGGGGCTTTGAGAGCAGCTGTTGTCCCTAACGCTCTTAGGAAGGGGCTATCGGGTGGCATGGGGGATGGGAGATGCTGAATGGCTGCTACTGCACGCAAGAGGTCATTTGTTTGTACTTCATATGACGTGGTCGTTTTCTTGCTTATGGCAGGCTCGGAGTCAGCCCATAGTTGTTCCAGTGTATATCCTGGTTTCGGTTCCATATACCGTCGGTTCCACACTGCATGATGGGACCATTGAGGCGCGTCGTGGTTGATTTCAACTGAATCCCTTTTCATGTCATATTCTTTGAGCATATCATCTAATTCTTGCAGGCTAGCGGCTCGGTGAATACAACATTGTCTGACAGCACCATCAATGTGGAGTGGCCATCCCACGGGCATGTGGGAGTCTTCCAGGAGTCCATCACCATTTTGCTCTATGATTGTACCTAACATAGGGACATCAATAGTTGCTTTGAGGCTAACTTGCGCACGTTTGCACTTCCATGTGTCAGGTGCTGAAAGGCCTCTGCCAGCCAACAGTTCGAGCGATGGGAATTCTGGTTGGTCATTCGTCGGTAACACCTCTTCTTTGATAACTAACTTTAGCCTGTGTAGTGGCTGGGGCTGTTCTTTTTGAGGGTCGTGAGGTGGTTGGGATGCGGTATCCTTGGGTGTTGTGTCTTCAAACCAGGTGGAGCGGACCGACTGGACACCTATGGGACTTGCAGAGCTAGCGGTTTTGATGCTTTCTCTGCGCAGGCTATGGTAGACGGGCGGGATCATCCATGCCGGCACAAAGACTGTGATAAACCACATTCCAAATGACCTGCAAATTCTGCGGCTTAACTTCAGGCGTGATACATCTTACCTGACCATCGATCACTCTGGTGTATGATTCGGAGCGGTCGAAGGATGCTGTGACTTTCAGGCCTAGGTACAGCTCTCTAAACCAGTATTCCTTGAGCACCATAAAGGAAAGGTGAGGTGCCCTCACTTCCAATACGTGCGAGGCTGGCATTAGGAGAGTGACCATCCACTCAGCTAAAAATTCAATCATTTTGACTTCGAGTTTGGGGAGGATGGCTTGGACTGCTCGAAGTGCACCCGCAATGTCCGGGACATGCCTACGTGAGGGCAGTCCAACTGTTCGCTTGGCATACTCATCAGCAAAGTAAAGTCTGCACAACTTTGAGACCCACTGGCTCGGTTTCTCCATGTCTATGGTGATCTTGGCCAAGGGCCATGGGTCTGGGAGCGTGGACAAACAATGCAGTAATTCGGAGGTCAGGTCGGCGGAGATAACTGGGAGGGCTTCTCCTTGCGGGCGATAGTCAACTGCTGGTCCTACCTACCGTGCCCTTGCTTTTTTGCGTATGGGTGCGGGCGGCTATATGCACGGCTTGGATGGTGGTCTCATATTGGTTGACCATGGCTCTTAAGTACTTGCATGCGCGGACAGCTGCTCTTCTTGTGTTTGGCCCATCTTCGGGCTGATTCTTGGCAGCTACTGCAAGGATGTCTCTCGCTTCTTCTTCAGGCGACCGTTTGGGTTCCGTGCCAGGCGCAGGTGCAGTGAGGGCGGTGCCTTGGACTGGCGCCTCTTTTGCGCGCGGCAAGTGATCTGGGATCGGCAACTTGGGGTGTAATCGCCATCCATCAAAGAAGTATATACCAGGCAGGGACAGGATCTCCTGTTCTGGGCCCGTCTGCGCTACTACATGCCCGGTGCGGGCTTTGTACAGTCCTGAGGGCAGGCACACATAGGTGGGAAAGGGTGTGCGATCGGCTGCGTAGGCATATAGGACGACTTCAGAGAAAGGGAGATTCTGCTCGGGGAGCCACTTGTGTTGAGTTGCTAAGCCTGCTTTGACTTCTTGGAGGCGCTCCCTGTTTAGCCAGCGAAGGTCCGACCCGCGCACCAATATCAGACGGTACCTCGCTTGCTTCACTTCTTCGGCTTGCTGATCGTAGTATTGGTTGGCGATTGCAAGGGGAGGGAACTCCCAGGTTGGTGCCGAATTCAGTGACCACCGGCTTAGCTGTGCTAGATTCTCTTGAACTGGGTCAGGATCGAAGTCAGGCCATCTCCATGTCGTTTCTCCTCTCCGGAGGCCCCGGATGCCGTATGCAATTGTTGCAATCACCTGCGCCATGCCCATGAGCCCCATCATGTCTAGCGGGGAGACAAGCAGGGTTAACGATTTGGACCGGGTGAGTCCGACAGTGATTCTGCCAAGGCAGTCTTCGGTATCTTCTGTAGGGGAGCCATTGGAGTAGTATTTGGTGTTTAAAAATCCAATACTGGGCTGAGCTACGATTGATACCTGTGCTGTTCCTCCTGCTGAATTGGCTATTGTTTCTACACGCAGGGTGCGGGCCTTAATCCCTTTTGAGCACGGAGCGGTTCAAGTTGTTCTTGTGATCTGTTGCCGTGGTCATTATAAAAAGTCCATCTGCAAATCCAGCATTGTGTGGGAAGGGGGTGAGTACCTCTGACACAAGAGTCTCCAGGTCTGTCGCTACCAACCCGTTAATCCTAGCATTAGTATCCCAAAGCACTAATTGGACCCTGGTGGCTTGTCGGGAAGTCCTCCCGAGGCAAAACTTCCCAGTTCCCATAGGGCATTGATCTGCCTGCAGAGATCAGGATATCTAACTGCAACTACTGCATGGTATGTCACAGGACTAACCCTAGAGCTGGAGGGAAGCATTAACCCCCAAGCGTGGATGTCACTCACTCCGGCGGTCTGGGAATTTAGAACTGCTTGTATGTCGCCAGCCATGGGTAGGAGAGTAGCGGCATGCTGCAAGATCCAGGCAAGGCGCACGAGGGACCGTGGAAAATTAATAGCGGTGCCTGCCAGCAGTTCTGAGTCCACAAATCGGGAGTGCCGTTGCAT